GCTTTGCAGAAACTGAAGAAGCTGATTGGGTATCTGAAAGGCGCAGCAGACTATTGTGTCGTTTTGGAGCCGCCTGTTCCTGGTCAAGGCAAATGGAGGTCGACAGACAAATTCTGGGTGCTTGAAAGCTTCACAGACGCAGACTGGTCATCAAATCAAAGACACCGTCGTTCAACATCATGCGGCAGACCCGGGTTCAATACCCGGGTGCAACACTAGGCGGACAGGCGGGCCACTGCCCCACCCCTGCAGTTAAGGGGATGAGCTAGGGTGTCGTCCGTAAAACACTCACTTCAACAAGCTGTGGAATCGATTTGGTTTGCGGTGCATTTGCATATGGTTCCTCCAGAACCAAAAAGGTGGTCATTTTGAGCTCTTGCGAGAGTGAACTTCATGCCATGGTGAGCACATTGTGCGACGGCATACTTCTGCGCCGTTGTCTGGAGATCATTACAGGGGCAACCATCGAGCGCTACCTCTTTACAGACAGCAGCTCAGCAAAGCAGTTGGCCAGCCGTCAAGGAGTTGTCAAAGTGAAGGATGCAGTACTGCACAAGCAGGTGATGCTAATCCAGGTCCCAACGTTGTGGAACTTGAGTGACATTGGGACGAAGCCTTTTGGAGCAAAACGTTTGAGGTTGCTTTTGCATGAGCTTGGTGTTTCCACGGATGAAGGGAAATACATTGTGGGCCAGGCAGAGTACGAACAACAATCTTCAAAGCATGGAGGTGGAAAGGAGGTGGCAGTGTTAGCAAAGAACATTGCGAGAGTCTTGGTGATGATGGGCCCTGGGCCAATGCCTGGAACTGCAATGAAAGTTGAGGAAGAGGCACAGTGCAGTTTGACAGAAAACAATGAGGTGCATTCAACTGGTCATGACAATGGTATGTTGTGGATGATGTTGGTTTTGATGCTGATCGTGATTGCATGGTCAGTTTTCCTCTGGCGTTTGGTGAAGTGGCTGGGACAGATGTGGGAAGGCCACGAAAACCTTTGCCTGCAGGTGGCAGAATTGGATGCCTATGCTGGAGGGATCAGAACTGATTGCAACAGGTTGCAACGAAACATGGCCGAGCTGGAGCAGAATCAGGAGATGATCTCGGATGGAACTGACGCCATCCATTACGCAGTGGTGGAGATGGGAGGCTACGTGCGCATGTCTGAATTGACTGCTGAGAAACGGAGGCACATGTATGTGCAAGAGAGGGGAAACATGGTAGCTGCAAACACTGTGGGTCAGCAACAATACCTGCAAGTCATTCGACAACAGAATCATGGATTCGCAGTTGGTCAGGACACAGATGTCAGAATGGAAGAAGGTGAGCGCAATGGAGAGCCTGAGAACGACTCGGATGCAGATGACCCTGCAGTTGCAGCTGAAGGAGAAGGACCTTGGACACCCCTCATCAATATGTTCAGAGATGAGATCAACAATGCCTTGCGTGTGGAAAATTTCAGAGATGCCAGCGAGTTGCAGAGGATAGTTTTGATTGTTTTTGACAACTTGAACGCTGGCAACCTTCGAGTCGATGCAGCTCGAAATTGAATGCTGAATGAGATCTCGAACAGGCTAATGTCAATGGTGCCGGGACAGAGAGCACTGAATCCAGCCGTGGCAGATCGCTACAGCGGCTATGCGGTGACCGTGAGACAGCTGATGGTCACCAGAAATGAAACATGAGTTTGCGTATGTTGGTTAAAAGATGAAATGGATGAAAAGCAATGTGAGAGGAAAAAACGGGGAATCCAGGCAACTCCCCGACACCATAATGCCCTGGTGTTTCAATATGGGTGCAACTAGATTTCACAAAGTGAAATTTTAGTTGAACTGTGAGCTAAAGCTACGCAATTCAAAGGAAGAGTGCAAAATGCATAGCAGTGCACCCATGACTCCATACATGCAGTTGTATCCATGGAAATCATAGGATAACATGCACAAATCAACAATGTAGCTGAACTTCAGTTCAGTCACATGACACGTGGAAACTCGATGTACTTCGAGGCCCCGAGGTTCAAAACAAGTGTCCGTTCGATTTCGCACTGAACCTTTGCAGAACTGGAATGCTGGAACGCTGTAACAACCCTTGCACCCTGGAACCCGCTGTCGGATTGCAGAAGTGGGTTGATGGCAAGTCACATGGGAAAATGGCGTCACGATCTATGGGATATTGGGTTGTCCCCAAAATTATGAGACAAACCCAGGTCATAAGCTATAAATCCAGGTATATCGGAGATTTCCGTGATATTCATTGAAATTGTTGTTTTTTGTGGGGTATGACAAACTATGAATCATTCTTTTCCATGGAAATTGATGCTTGAACTGGTTACAGATTTCTGGCCCGATTTTCCTTAGCCGCTCTGGCTCGGACTGCGAGCCATGTGAAGGTCATCGGCCACAGTCACGAGGAGAGACTCAGGCCTTTTCGGTGGTTTCGGTGGGGAACCCGCAAACCATGGGTTTCGCCGGTTTGAATGACACATTTTGGATGATTTCGAAAGCCCGCATAGTTGATGGTCCAAACACCATGGTTTCTCCTCAAAATTCCTAGATCAAATCCCTGAGGGTGCAGGTCAATACCAAATAATGACAAAATTGAACAGTTGCTATTCACGTCTCAACATGACAGCAATTCCAGCATTTTTTTTTTTGATGTGAACTACAGGGTACAAGGGTTTAAACCATTCCCAGGTGTTTTGTTATTTTTGGTATTTGAAACCTTCCATTTTGTTGGGTCAATAAAATTTGATGCTGGGCCGTACCCATTTCCGTTGGTGTTGTTTGGATCACTTGCGGGGGCGGCTATGGAAAACATTCGTGTTTTTTGTGTTTTGTGTTTATCCATATCGAGCAGGCTGCATATGAAATCGCCACCCAATCACGCGCTGAGTCTGAAACAATGGCATGGAAAACACAACAATTTAACCTTTGAGAGTGTGGCTGATCCGAAATTGAGTTGCTTGTGAAATCAATGATCCATGAAAGTGAATTCCTTGTTAGCCTTCACTCCTTTGGACATGATTCTGTTGCAACAACAGGAATGGTCAACAGAAAAACTGCCTGAAACGGGTGGGAAATTGTGGGCAACATGATATAAAGTTCGGAACTATATCGTATACATACCCCCACAAGGATAAAAACATAATGTACCAGTATCTTAGTAGGATTATCCTTTTTTACTTTTTTGAATTTGCCATAATTTTATGGGGGAACTGTAGTATACTCACTCGCAAGTCTAAGATGTCGTGAATTATCACCAGAGTATCACTTGCAGAAAGCTTGCTCTGCTCTTAATTTACGGCCCCATCTGTTTGTGTTCCTTGGCCTAATTGGGTAAAATTATCATGGTTGATTCTGCACGTTGACAGTCCCAGTCCCAGTAAAAAATGGTACCTGAAAATGGGTTTGTCTGAAAATGGGCCCCATTTTTTCCAACGGTGACAGGTCGTCAGGTCGGCACGCCGAGCCTAACAAAGTGGCACCGAGGCCAGTGGAATTGGAACTTGGATCCAGTGGTGGAATTTTTGGAGGGTTTCTTAAGGTTTTAGGGTTCTGGTGATCACGGTGAAACTAGAAAAAAAACAAAAAACATCATCTGGGAGCTGTTAGTGAAGACGTTTCCACGTTAGCGCATCATTTTGAGGCGGCGACCATGGGGCAGATTATGGGTATCATCATCAATGTCCTATCGCAGGCGGGTCAGGGCGGAACCATGAGGAAATGGCAAGTGGACATGTTGGGTGCATGAAATGCCCTTGAAATGCAGAGGCAGATATACATCCCTTGGAGAAAATGGACCACACATCATTAGAACATATCAAAGTAGAATGAATTGACCATGTTTGTTCGCCATTCTAAAGTATATGGTAAGTAGCTTTGATGTGGAAACTCAATCACAGATGTAGATGGGCGATCCCTGTACTTCAAAGGGAGGTAGTCTGCTAGATGTTTGGCATTTTTGGTTGAACTTGTCATGGGTCAATATCAATGATCCCAAAATTGGATCGATGAACATGACACATCCAATAACTTGTCCCTTCTTTGCATGTGAATTTTGCATGTAACCAGTGTGAAATGACCCATTCCCATCTTGGCATTTTTTGCCACATTGTTGACAAACATCATCAGTCCAGGGAAAAATGTGTTTTGTAGTTTTGTAGTAAACCCGCAAAAAGATAGTAGACTAGTTTTACCACTATTTTAGCAGGATTTATACAAGTTGTATCTTTTTGGCCGCTGCTATACCCATTGGCTGAGGCCCAAAGGGACCCTTTGGAGAACCTGCGGCTGGCAGTGGAACGCGCTGAAGCTGCTGGTGTAGAAGAGGTGCCCAGATTTGGAGCTTTCTCCGAAATTGGGGGACTTCGGAAAATAACCCCAGTTGAACCCCCAAGAAATCGCATTTTTTTGTGGGCCGTGAGACTTTCACCTGTTGGAATTCCGTGTTCGAGACGAGAAAAGTAAAGCACAGCACAGCTTCCGTTGTGAAGAAGTTCCAAGACCAGTCTCATATGCGTGTGTCTAAAAATGGGGAATACCATATATCCATATTGAAAGTAAATTTAATGGATGATGACAAACCATGGCATGTATATGATAATATATAATTATACACATACATACATACATACATACATACATTACATACCATACCATACCATACCATCCCATGCCATGCTATGCTATGCCATGCCATGCCATGCCATGCCATGCCATACCTACATACCTACATACCTACATACCTACATACCTACATACCTACATACCTACATACCTACATACCTACATACCTACATACCTACATACCTACATACCTACATACCTACATACCTACATACCTACATACCTACATACCTACATACCTACATACCTACATACCTACATACCTACATACCTACATACCTACATACCTACATACCTACATACCTACTACATACCTACATACATACATACATACATACATACATACATACATACATACATACATACTATGCCCCTATTATGATCCTGGGTCCTTGGCTCGATCAGGACACGCTGGATGACGTGAGGACCAAGCTCGCTGAGCTGGAGAATGAAGTGGGCAAGGTTCCGGGTTGGGGATGCCATGAAGGGATGGGTATTTGTCAAAACATCGCAGATCGACTGGTCATGTTGTTTGATCACTCAGGCATCGGGCACAAAAAAGATTTGACACATGTCCAGATGAGTAAGGGCCAAGTAATGTGGGAACTTGGGTGCAGGATACTTGCTAGTTTGATTCAGAGATCACCATATATCTGGGAGAATAATTAGTAACGCATGAGTTCGTCAAACATTCTGGTTTTGAAGAGGAGAACTATGGAGGTGTTCACACAGTTGGTATAGATTATGATTCACGGGGTACAACCCAGCAGCCGGGGCAAAGCCACAGGTGTTTCCAAGGAAGGATACCTAACACTGCCATTGGTCAGGAATTGTCGATCTCCATTAACCATGCGGTGAGTGGGGAGACCCTCACGGTGGTCCAGAACTCAGAGAAGAGGGTTGATAAGTGGAAGAAAATTTGGTTGAACTTAAGCCGCCTCGATGTTTTTTTCTCCCAATCTGAATGGAAATCAGGTTTGAAATGGGAGGTTATGACGGATCTCCACCTAGGTGCGGGCCAGACCTTCCCATACACCTGGCTACCTGCGAGAGCACGTGCTGAGGGCTACAGGAGCTGGGAGTTGTGGGCGTTGTGGGCGTTGTGGGAGTTACGGGAGATACGGGTGTTACGGGAGTTGTGGGCGTTGTGGGCGTTGGCGGCGTGTTGTGGGTGTTGTGGGAGTTGTGGGTGTTGGCGGCGTTGGCGGCGGCATTGTTGTTGTTGTTGTTGTTGTTGTTGTTCTTGTTGTTGTTGTTGTTGTTGTTGTTGTTGTTGTTGTTGTTGTTGTTGTTGTTGTTGTTGTTGTTGTTGTGTTTGTTGTTTGTTGTTTGTTGTTGTTGTCGTTGTCGTTGTCGTTGTGGTTGTGGTTGTGGTTGTGGTTGTTGTGGTTGTTGTGGTTGTGGTTGTGGTTGTGGTTGTTGTTGTTGTGGTGGTGGTGGTAGTGGTGGTTGTTGTTGTTGTTGTTGTTGTTGTTGTTGTTTTATTTGAATGAGGGTTGTCCTTGGTGTGGCAGACTCATTTTTGTCAACCTCCAGTTTTTCAAGGTTAATCGAAATTCACGAAGGTACTGCGGTTGAACTCGCTATCCACCTGATGGGTGGCTGCATTCACTTTCAAGCGACTCCTTACAAACATGGCTGGTGTTTGGCCTCCTGCAAAGGGTATCTACACTTTGATGTGGATGTTGAATCATCTGGGTGAAAGTAGCTCATTTGATTTCTGAGTTGAATGGGCGGAATCGTGAAATCCCTTGGAAAAAAGATCGCCGGATAGCATAGTATAGCCATGCAAAAAAAAATCATTGGAATCCCAAATGACTGTCAACCAACCATTCCTTTTTGGCCCCGTTGGACCATCCGCCAGGAGAGGGTGGCGTCGCGCTTCACTTTCTTTTTCAGTCGCAGGTTGGGGCGTTGAGCTTCAACTAGCACAGCACAGATTTTTCAGGCCAAGATAGGCATCAACCAACAGATTTTTTGGTGCCCCATGGATTTTATGCTGGGAAAGAAAGGTAGTTCTGGTTCATAGTCCCTTTTAATTATTTGCCATTGGACATCTTTTACTTTTGATCGCAGCCCTGAGTGAGTTCATGGTGACCATGATTGCAGGTCTGGGACTTCAGGATACTTTTGACGGTTATTCCTTTCCTGTCTATCTAAAAATGATGTACATCCGGCGGTGAATGGTATAAATCCGTAATTCATTTATTAAAACTTAAAACCACTTTCTTAGAGTTCTTCCATTTTGGGGACCACATGTAATGGCCGACGCTGCAGGTTCTGGACGAGAAGGTAAGCCTCAGAGAGGCAGGCCCAGACCTTAGCGATTTTCGGATCAAGTTGCGTTGATTTTTTTCGGGCTGCAGTCCTTCCAAGATTATTTTCGATGATTTGTGGAGATCTTTTTTTTTTTGCGCTTGTCAAATTTGTTGTCCCAACCGTTGCTTCCCAAGGCTTGTCCGATGGCGACACGGTGTTTTTGGTTCAGACGCCACTGCTGTGTGTCTGGAGCCTCGGGCCATGGGTTCATCTCGTTCGCTCCGATGGCGAGCCAAGTGGTTTTCAGGATTTCACATTGATACCCTCTGGTAAACCCTCAAAACTGGTTGTATCAACCCAATGTAGGATGATTGGAGACCGACTCGGGAACTGGCGTCGAGCCAAACCCGACTCAGTAAGCAGTTGATGTACCCTCTGGCAATTTAACATAGCTATTGAAAATGGCCATAGAAATAGTGGATTTTCCCATTAATAGCATGGTGGATCTTTCCATAGCTATGTTAAATTACCAGAGGGTATTTGGATTGTATCTTCACTTGTTTGCCGCTGCCCGGATCCTCCAAGACTTTGAGTTGTGTGGCATGGTTTGGGTGGATGTCTTGTGGACAGTGGAGATTGGTTGTTTGTGCGCAGAAACCCAGAGCCCCGGGTGGGTGGGAACCAATCTATTCTTGCTTCGATAACTTGCAATTTTTCACAGATATGCCTGCAGGGTCATGGGCATCCAATGCCTGGTTTCCAGAAATTCGTGACTATCCTGCGCGTTTTCTACTTGGATTAGGTCATTCTTCAGTCATTAAGACTTTAATGGCGCTTTCCCCAAACCCGGATTCCGGCTAACAAATGGTTGGAAAGGAGTTCATTCTACTCTGTCTCCATAAATTTCCCTAGAAATGTAGGCCATCTATCTTTACAGTTTGATGGAAACCGCTAGATGAAAAAAAACCATAGGGTTTTCACTATTCATCTCCCATTCACCAGTCATTCGGGTCTGGTCAAAGTCATGTTTTTCTATTGACTCACATATCTCCAACCATCTTCAAAGTCAATCGAATAGTTTACAGCGGTATGCTTATTTGATGTACCTTTTCCCACTTGTGGTACTGCATCCCTAGTCTCAATAAGGGACCCCGAAATGAAAGCAAAAACGGTGCAAATTGTAGCCTTCAGTTCTAAAATGTTCTAAATAATCTAAATTGAGATTTTCCCATCATTTTCTCACTGGATTGGTTTGTTAGGGAAAATCGAAACCGGAAACCATGGCTTTTCCCTAACGCTGAGAGATTTTCTCATCATTTTCCCATCATTTTCCTCATCAAAGATAGAGGTTTCCGGTTTCAATTTTCTCTTCACCCACTGCGCCCAGCTCACGGCCTCCTTTGATGGCACCGCCCGCATCTGGTGCCCCGGAGAATTTCAGAGGGCGCGGCAACGCAGCCAATCTGGCTATGGGTGGGGGCATGAACATGGCTTAGAATAATCTATGTACATATAATATTGATATACATATTGTTTTTGTATATCAACATGATGAGTAAGCGTTGGATTTAGGGGTAGCCTATGTTTGCCGATCTGGGTTCATTTTGTAGTTGATGAGCATCCCAATTTGTGTATTTCCGGGATGGGAACAGAAAGGTACTGTTGGGTCTTGATCATTCCATTGTTCAAGGGATTTCAGATATTTGTCCCATCTGCGGGTCCCAAGGGTTGGGAGATGCTTGTCTGTACTGACTGTGCTGCCACTTGAAACTCGAGGGTTGCTTTTCTGTTCATTGGAATAATAAATGATTTAACTTGTACATGGAAATGTTCAAGTCGCCCATGGGATTGCCAGCCACATGGAACGATCTCATGAAGTTGCCAAGAAAGACGGAGAGATGCCTCATGTGTGATCCTGTGAAAAGATTTAAGTGATGGGTGCAGCGGAGACCCCCAACCCAAGTCACTTTGGGTTCCACAGTGGAAACGGGCGTTTGATCAAAAATCCACCAATTTGATAGGAAATCAACAGGTTGATCGGAGATTGAGTCAGAAACCAGCCAGGAACTTCACCTATCGGACCTATCGCAACCAGGAAATCCGGCTGCGAGCTTTTTCGCGCCAGGTACCTGCAGAATGGGGACTGCCGCAAAATGCTTGTGGCACGACAAGGAGGGCAGGCGCACAGTTTTCCAGGGCCTGGTGGTGCCAGCATTTTTCATTTGTTTGTTGATTTCTAATCCCCATTTGCTAGTTATATATACAATATATATATATACATATATTAATTATGTATATATACACATAATATCCTATATATTTATACACCTACCATAAACCCAAGAGTTGTTGGAGTTTTGCTCAACCAACTCAGCGATTTAGCTCCCTGCTTCACGACCATCGAAAAGGTGCAGTCTGCCACCTTTTCGCACGATGGGTCCATGCTGCTTACCGTCTCCTTAGATGGTGAAGGAAAGCTTTGGCCGCGCAGCCAGAGTGGTTGCAGAGTCAGTGGCAGTCCAATCTGGGGGACAGTTCTATGTGTATGTGCTTCTTTGCCACTTTAGAGACCCCAGCTGACTAGTAGTTTCAAGCTTTCATTGGGAGAACTATTGCACTACTACTACTACCAGCATGAAAACAGCTTTTGTTTTTGAAGTCGAAGAATGATGCCAGTTTTGGTGATCAATGGTGATCACTATCCACAAAAAAAGCACATCCTCCAAGTAAGTCACTTCTGGATGCCTCCGAGTTTTTGATGTTTTTGATGGAGTCGGACGCCCAAGGTGTGCCGAAAGTGGACGTCTTTGGTGTGAGCTTTGTGGACAGCCCGGTGGTGTCTTGCCGGGCTCTCGGCAGGTTGGATCATCGAATCATCGACTACCTAGGACTAAAATCAATGGCTGATTCAAAGGTAACCTATGGATGTGTTTCGAGACATGCCACATGAGGCCATTACTGTAATTACTGCGAGAAGTTCTGACACATAGGCCTTACATAGACCTTACATAGACCTTAAGGCACCTCCAACTCAAGCAGCTTTGTACGGAACTATGGAAGTGCTTTATCTCCCAGACAAAGCCAAATCCACAATCAACGGATTCTTTGCGGCTAAGGTGTGGTGAATTTTCAGCAGATAGCAAATGGATCACCGGCGCATCTGATGACTGTACCGCCATAGCAGCTTGGATCAGGGGGATTTTTCGGGGAGACACATCCAGCTATATCCAGCTTTTTTTGGTGCCAAATGACCTGCGAAACCCACTGGACATCCACAAGAGCTGCCAGGTTAGTGGCGGGGTTCTTTTGGCGGTCAACAATTCCACCTGAGGTGTGGAGTGCTGAGACGGGGCACTGTTCTAAGATCCTGGCTGGCCATGATGATGATGCCGGGGATGCCAAGCCAGTTGGAATGTTGTTGGGTGCCACTTGGGTGACTGCCCATGCTTGGGACGCTCTATTAGGGGTCTGATCCTTTTTGCCGCAGCTTAAAATCTGCAGTTTGGTTGATTAAAACCCAGATTTTAGAGCTTCGACTTCCCATCATCACTGCCCAGGTGAAGTCAGCAGCATTTTCCCCCGATGCATCGATGGTAGTGACTGCCTCTTGTGATGGTTGTGCCCTCAGACCGTGGAGCTGACCGAAAGTGTGAGGCAATTTGTGGCTGCAATTTGAGCAGTGGCTGCAAAGCCCTCAGTTTTTCCCTCAGTTTGTTGATGATTCCCTTTTTTTGGACTACCATAATCCACCAACTTAATCCACTGATTGAGATTCCCATAGATTCCCAACAATCACCAACTATCCATGGAGATTCGACCAACGGGATAGGCACCGCTGGCTTGTGGATGGCGGCAGATGGCAGCCGGATCAGATCGTTGGTTGGGAGACTCAGCCAGATCGTTTTTTTGGGAACTCACGGTTTCACGTCTCGATAATGCTCTGTTTGATCACCCGTTTTTATCCGTTTTTCCTGTTCTGTGACCCTTATGAATGTCCTTAGTGGCTGTTGTAAGCAACATTTTGAAGCTCACTGACAACAAGTTCTCTTCAAAAGAGCGCCAGACCGTCAAAAATCAAGCCCAGAAACAAGGGAAGGCTCACCTTTTGACTCCTTTTGAATTCCTGTTTTAATGGATCCATGAAGCCATTTGTAGCCAAATCCCTTGGTTTAATTCGCGGCAAGGTTGGCCATGATGACGTGGTCCGGGGATCCAGTGCCGATATTGGGGGATGGTTATGAATCTATAAATAGGAGTTCATATGGCCATTACAATGAATCCTTTATTGATGATGGTGGGATGACCATACCCCATGAAAATTCCATATTTTGACCATGGCACATATGGGTCAAGCCATTTGGCATAGCGTGCATACATCCTTTTGATGAGAATTCATCATCCTAACCCAAACGTCTAAATATTGAAGTTGGCAGATAATGTCTCCTTGTTTTCCCTTCCATGTTCTTCAGCATGGTTTCATTCTCATATTCGTGGCTAAATTCATCCAACCCTATGGTGGGCCCTTTTTGGAGCTGTTTACTGGAATGTACAGTCGTGAGCTTCAGGATGCTTCTCAAACACGCAGAAACATTCCTAGATCAGTTCTCCATCAAAGCGGCTGCTAGGCTTGGTAATCAACAAATGGTCAAAGTGGTGAAGCACATCCTTGACATGGGCAATCTGATGAAGATTCATGACAAGAAATGATAGGGGGAAATATATACAGAAATTCACTAGAAGGATTTCCATTATTATGTGATGTGCAAACCTTGACATTTGGGGAACCATCATCAATCACTGGCACATTTTGTCAGAGGGGCCACCCTCGTAATTTAAAATGACAATCCAAACTTTGGCAATCATGGGATAATTATCTATGAATTATATACAATTATATATATATATATATTATAAAATTATATGTATACAATTATATATATATATATAAATATATGTATGTATGTAATGTAATGTAATGTAATGTAATGTAATGTAATGTAATGTAATGTAATGTAATGTAATGTCTGTCTGTCTGTCTGTCTGTGTGTATGTATGTATGTATGTATGCATGGATGTATGTATGTAATGTAATGTAATGTAATGCAATGCAATGCAATGCAATGCAATGTAATGTAATGTAATGCAATGCAATGCAATGCAATGTAATGTAATGTAATGTAATGTATATAATTAACAGTTTTCTCTTGCCAGGTCAAATTTTGCTGGAGAGTCCAATGTCGCCGGAGGTGAAATCTGCCATGTTCTCCTATGATGGGCTGCGGATCATCACGGCCTCCATGGACGGCACAGCACGGGTTTCTTGGGCTCAAAATCTGCAGGGCAGATGATCTTTCTGTGCGTGCAGCCAATTTGGGCACGGGAGAATGATGATGATGATGATGATGAGGAGGATGATGATGAGGAGGAGGAGAAGGAGGAAGAGGACAATCATGAGGACTTTGTGAGCTTGTAACTCTGTCAGCCCTTACTGGCACCATGGGATTGTCGAAATCCAACAATTGTCGAAATCCTTCATCCCATTCTACCCAGGGTCATCCATAGGCATAGTTGACACATCGGTACCGAGGTTTGGAATGTGGATCCCGGTGACTGCCTTCAGGTATTGCAAGGACATGCCAAGGTAGGGGTTGCTTGGCAGTTTGTGGTCTCCTGGAATAAATGGCAAGCAAACTTCAGTGCTTGCAACATTTATTTTTGTTTCCAAGCAAAAAGTTCAACGACGCAAGCTCTCAACAATGCAAATACCAAGCGGAATCCCGTGGGTTTTCATGCTACAACCAGACCTAGTCGCTGCAGAGAACGTGTGGAGCAACCACTGCCACTTTGCAGCTCTTCTCCAGCGGACCAACTGTTTGGTTGTTGTGGCCATATCATTAAGCACTAAGAATATCCAAGTCATATCATATTTATCTTCTCATTGTCAGGTTCCGAGCTTCAATGGCTAGATTGCCCACAAAGGGTGGGATGTTGGTTTTCATTTCAGCACATTAAACATATTTCTCCAGGTTTGCAACTCTGAGTGCAAGTTCCAAAGTTAGTTCACAAGTTTTTCCGAAGTTCACCACTTGTTTTCCCCAAGTTCTAGTTGACCAAATGTTAGCATTCCTAAGTTTTTCCTATTTCTTTGACCCAAGTCCTGTTGTTCCTCCGCAGGCAGTGAATAGTGCGGCCTTCTCACCGGATGACCAGCTGCAGCTTGGTGATTGTGGATTCAATGGGCATAACAATGGGTATACATCTAGTATGTGGATGGATATATATATATATACTGTATATATATGTAGGGTATATAGACATTATATATATACCTTTATGTATACGTGTGTGTGTATATATATACATCGTTATAGACATTAACAATGCGGATATGGATCAACAATGGGAATATACCCGATCCATTTTGGGATACCCCCATTCCAGGTAACCTCCACATATATATATATATAGTTTTTTTTAGATTTTGGGTATATAAGCATCATGGCAGATCATATCATGGGCATAGAATGGGTATATAATAGGCATATGGGGATGTGATCTCCATTTTCATTTGGGTGTAATTTTTCTGAACTTATCATATGGATATAACATGGGAATATAATGGGATATATAACCAGCTTGATATGACATCTTGATGTGTGAAACTGGGGCATAATACCCGGAATGGTGTATGATTAATGATGGATTCGGCGGAGCCCATTGACAGAACCATGAATTATTGAGATGATGTTCCCATTCAAACTAGTTTTTTAAAATTGTTTGATTACCAGAGGGTAACCACCTAAAGTGAGGGGAACATGTCGGGAACATTCACCAAAGATGGGGCTTGAGAGTGTCACCAAAACTGCTTGGTAGTTTCCTTCCCATTCCTTAATTTTCCATCCCTAAAAATAATGATTTCAACAGATTTTCTTCACTTGAGTAGCTCAATCGCGGGCCCTTTTCCATAGTGAATTGGCAGCAAATTTGAGACGCGAGTTTGAAGAGTTTGCGCAAAGGAAAATGAACATTGAACTGCAAAAAAAGGTCATTTTAACAAAGTCACTAGGAGAGTCTTTCAAATCCATTCGTTGAGGGTTCATGGTAGATTTCAGATACTCGTGGGACCTGGGGTTGATCCGCCACCAAGGGATTGGCTGCGCTCAGGTACCTCACGACGTCCTTTGATGGCACGGTCCGAGTGTGGGAAGCAGAGACAGGTGCCAAGAACTGGGTACCGAAATCGGTGTCCTCAAACATGGGAAGCTGGGAAATCCCCGAACTCAGCGGAGTTTATTTTTGGAAAATCATCTACAGTTGAGGGATTTTCCATGATTTTCCATTGCGACATTTGATTACTTGGAGGATATCTGGTTAGGAAGACATCTTGCTGGGCTAGAACTAAAGCTTTTTGCAGCGTATCTAAGATTCGCCGTGAGAAGGGGTGAAGCCTATCCTGAACGTTTACTTTAGGGAACCAAGGGCTGGTACCCGCACATTTTCAGAAGGTCTTACCACTGATATTTCACTCCTTTGAACCGATGGCTGCTGTATGGTTCTGTCCTGCTGAATTGCCAGGAGAGTGCAATCTCGTTCTTCATGCAGACAACAAGGTGGTGAACACTGCGCAGTTCTCACCAGATGGCGGGGGACTCAGATTTGGAGTTGGTTTCACCAGCTTATCTAGAACACCAGTGATTGGTGCTGTATACGTGTACATATATATACATATACATATGCATATGCATATACATATACGTATACATATACATATACATATATAACCACTATTACTGCTGACAACCCAATTTGTCAAATCATTTGGACGCGGGATGAACATCGAACAGTTAAAGGGTTCCCAGGGTGTTTTTTTGGATGGAAGAACTCCTGCACCAGGCAGGGAAACTATTGGGATTCCCATGAAACACTGTAAATAATGAATAATGGGACTATAAGAGGATGTTTACCATCTACCCTCCATCCACAGTATTGGAGGTAATATTCTTTCCCCACATATTCTTATGTCGGAGGTCTTAGTTCCTATGGACGGTGGAATTACTATCGGAGTTATTACGGAGATATTCGACAAAATGCGGGCATGTCAGAGGTATGGATATAAAACATGTGACAAATTGTCATATTTCCTAAGACACCCTCACTCATTTGAGGCACATATGACATATGAATCTTTGTTCCATACTCAACAATATAACCCTCATCAACATACTAATAACTTCGTGAACATTATTCCTCAAGAGCCATATTCAACCAGTTGTTAGCTGGTGGTTTGGATTGGTGGTTTGGAATTCTGGGGGTGCTGCATCATGATGTCATCTTCTTGGGAATGTTGGGATCCCAATCTCTTCATCCCAATTAGCAAGTTGCTAAGAAGCCATATGGAGGTTTCCTGAAATGGGGGTAACCCCAAATCATCCATTTTTGTTTGGGATTTTCCATGAAATAAACCATCCAGCTATTGGGGTATCCCCATTTATGGAAACCCCCATAGATCATTGAGGTGCCCACACAGCCGAGTATCATAAAGGTTTGTGTGGAAAACGTGTACCCCAGATCCACTGCAGAATCACCATCTTCCTTTTAAAATCGCCGTATTCTATGTGTACACCCAATTTTCAGACATATATACCCAAAAACAATATCAAGTTGGTTATGCAATATATCCCATTTCATACCCATTATGAACTATTATATTCCCATTGCATTCCTATTATATTCCAACTATATTTCATTGTATTCCCATTACATTCCTTTTATATTTGACAACAGATATTCCCACTATATTTCCATCAGATTCTCATTCTCTCCATGTTATGGTTTCTAATCCCCATTCACAATTACCATATCCCCACTATAATCCACATTATCATCTCCATACTAGTGTTTAGGTTATATACTGTGTATATATATATATACATACACCCCACTATATATATATGATATATGTTATTATTCGTATGTTGGATATTCCCGTTATAGTCCCGATTACAAGGTCCAATTAGATTGACATATTCCCGATATTCCCATTGACTTCCGACGATATTCCCATTATATCCATAATTATGATCATTTAATGAAAATAATATGGATATATATATAATTATCCCATATTAGTATATAACCATATCATTATTCCCCATATGAAAATTAGTATCTTTCAGCATCTTATTCATTATTAGTATATAAGTATATAACCATATCATTATTCAACAAATATGCATATGAAATAATCCCCATAATCCCCATTTTTTCTGGTTGGTTTTATGGCTTTTTCAAGGCCCCAAGGCTTCGTCGCTTAAGGCACCATGATCTTGGTCGCCTCGGGCACAGAGTGTGTCCGCTTGCTGAGTGCCACCACAGGCGGTGAGTCCCGTGCCAAAAATGATGGGCGAAGTGAAACCATATGGTTATATAATGTTATATACTAATTATAATAGGATTATTAGATATATGAAATTATATACTTATAAACCATAGGATTATTATTCAATGATCATCATCGAAGGAAGATAAAAGAAGTCAAGCTTCCGACAGTATGGACAGATGAAAAACAGAGATGGGAAGAGTCAGCGAGAAGAAGAAAGAAGATCAAAAAAGAGAGAGTAAGAAGAAAGAAGATGGAGATGCGCGAAAAGGTAGGAAAGTCGCGAAACACTGTGTTTTTCCAATGATTTGTGGCTCCGGAGGGTCGAAAAGTAGGCTCGCTAAAGCGGCGGGTGCGGAGCCCGCTGGGCAGATGAGAGATGAAAAATTGCACGCCGTTGTGGCGCAAAGCACATTTCGAAGTCAAAATGTACAAAGCACACCAGGTCCGGACCACTTTTGGAAGTTGAGATGTCGAAAAAGTGCACGCCGTTGTGGCGCGAAGCACATTTAATGTACAAAGCACACCAGGTCGGACCACTTTTGGAAGTTGAGATGTCAACAAAGTGCACGCCGTTGTGGCGCGAAGCACATTTGGAAGTCAAAATGTACAAAACACACCATTCTCGGACCACTTTTGGAAGTTGAGATGTCGAAAAAGTGCACGCCGTTGTGGCGCGAAGCACATTTTGAAGTCAAAATGTACAAAACACACCAGCGTCGGACCACTTTTGGAAGTTGAGATGTCGAAAAAGTGCACGCCGTTGTGGCGCGAAGCACATTTCGAAGTCAAAATGTACAAGACACACCAGGTTCGGACCACTTTTGGAAGTTGAGATGTCGAAAAAGTGCACGCCGTTCTGGCGTGAAGCACATTTCGAAATCAAACGTGCAAAAAACCGAGGGGTTCGGAGCATTTTTGGACGTTCAGATGTGGTTTGCGCGACAGGCGCAAGGGATTGTGCACGTTGTCAAAAGTGAGCAAAACCTGAGGGTTTGGTAGCATTTCCAAAAACGATGCCAGGCGCGAGACATTTGAAGAGGATCTGCAAAGATGCATTTTCCGTGGCAGGCGCAGTACAAGAGACATGTTTATCAGAGCTGTTAGGAGGTCCGGGCGCTGATTTCCTGATTTTGGAGCATCAGATCTTCAGGTTTGCTGAGATGATTTTGCGTGACAGGTGCAGCACTTCGTATGACCCGGTATCACTTTTTCGTGGCAGGCGCAGTAGTTTAGACAGGTGGAGTCGAAAAATCGCAAAACGCATTGGTACGAGGCTGTCAGCTCTGCACTCAACTTTCCATTTTTGAAGGAAGTCTCGCAGAATTGCTTCGTTTTTGATGTTGTCAACTTAAAAAAATGAGGAAGTCTCGCAGAATTGCTTCGCTTTTGACGTTGTCAAGTGCAAAAATTGAGGAAGTCTCGCTGAATTGCTGCGTTTTTTTTATGTTGTCAAGTTCAAAAACTGAGGAAGTCTCGCAGAATAGCTTCGTTTTCAAGCTTGCTGATAGCAGGTAGGTAGACAGACAGAGAGACAGAGAGACAGAGAGAGAGAGCCAGAGATAGATAGGTAGGTAGGTAGGTAGATAGAAAGATAGATAGGTAGGTAGGTAGATAGATAGATAAATAGATGGAGAGAGAGAGAGAGAGATAGATAGATAGATGGATGGATGGATAGATAGGTAGATAGATAGATAGATAGGTAGATAGATAGATAGATAGATAGATAGATACATAGATAGATAGATAGATACATAGATAGATAGGTAGGTAGGTAGGTAGGTAGGTAGATAGTCAGAGAAAGAGAGAGAAAGAGAGAGAAAGAGAGAGAAAGAGAGAGAAAGAGAGGAGACCTCAACCACCTTTCGGTCCATCAGTGGCTTCGCTCTGCCATCCGTGATTCGCAACAACCAAGCTCTCCTATAGGTTTCCTATTTTTGAAACTTCCGCCACCGCCTTGTGCGGTACTACTGGTATGGAGAGTAACGGATTATAATTCCAGAAACCATATTATAACCATATCTAGGTGAACTGGATGGAGAGTAATTGCTGATCTATCCAGCTATCAATCGAGTATTTGGTCTTGTTTTGTTGTATCCAGCGCAATCTAACCTAATGCGATCTAATCTAATCTAGTTTATCTATTTTATAACATGTACAGGCAACTATACGCAAGTAAGCGAGATTATCGAAACCTAGGGTGTTTGATCTAGAAAAAAATCACCTCATCCAGGAAGGGGTGTACAACTTTCAAACCGACATCGATTGAATTTGCCTTCCAGCCACCGCAGGCAAATCCAACCCGGCCGGCGATGGAATTATCAGCATTTTCATGAGGTAAGTCATCCACAAAACACAGGTTCATGATCCATCGTCATGTTTGAGGGCTTGAATGTATTCCTAGATTCCTTGATTGAATCCTGTTCTGAAGGTGTTTTGCAATCAAAAGATGTAGTGGCGCAACCATCGTGGTGGGTCAATGGCATAATTTCTAGCCATGGAAGATACATGAAAATTTCTAGCCATCAATCTATATCATCTCTCTGAAACTCCTGGCATCCACCAGGTGAGTGCATCATGACATTGGATGGCCACGAAGATTGGGTCAGGACTGGTGCTGCAGCTGGGATTTGTGCAGCTAATCAGATGATCTCAATCAATCTCAATGAATCTCAATCATAGATCTACATATAGCCCTGGGAGTCTTTAGATCAAGCGTTGGGAGAAGCTAAGATCAAACAACATCAGTACATCAGGAAGCAGGAGGTTAGCAAATTCATTTGGAAGCACTTGGCCGAAGATCAGAGGATTGTTCTCTCTCGAAGGACCGCGAACTTTTCGCCGGATGGTGGGGGGAGCCCAGGTTCAGCGATTCGAATCAGGGAGAAATGAATGTCCTGAAGGGTTCATGGTAAATCCACTCAGTGAGAATGATTTTTGTCTGCAAACATGATACCCATCCTCGCCACAAGAATCCTTGGAGCCTCAAACCAGGCATGCTTATTGCTTCAGCCTCCTATGATGGCACTGCAAGGCCTTGGGTAGGGGGAGTTGCCAGCGATGCGGAATATCACTGTTGCAGATCATTTTGATTGTTGAATTCTACCAGCCTTTTGTGTGATGGGAAAGCGCGCGTTCTTGTTCAAAAGGAATTCAACAGATCCATCGCAAACCTGTTTTCTGGCTAGGGTTTTGGCCAGGTGCCTTGTGCTGCCCCTTGTTTCATGCAGTCTACTGGTCACGGAAAGATTCGGTACCCAAGCACACCGGGAGGGTTTCCATATTGACAGCTGAACCTTCAAAATGGCCGCAATCAATCAAACACTAATCGGTATTTCCCCACTGACCCCCCCACTGAGCAAGTGCCAGGGTCTGGAGCTCCCGAACGGGGGAATGTCTACAGACGCTGACGGGGCATACAGCCGGGGCACCCACACTCAGGGTGACTACCCTATGGGCTGACCAGAAATGTTGGTTTACAGGGCCTTTCAGCATGGTCAAGTTCGCTGATTGGGTGAGGTGTGCACAAAGGCTACAGGTTAACGGCTTGGAAAGAGTGGGCATTTCACACGTGCTACAGCTAGTTAGCTTGAATAATAGACACTACAAGAATCTTAATTTTAAAATCATGATCATGAATTACTTTACTTCGTGTGATCCCCACCATGACATTTATCCATTTTGTTACTGGCAAATCCTCTGGCATTCTATCTGGCATTCTATCTGGCATATCTTCTGGCATATTATCTGGCAAATCTTCTGGCATTCTATCTGGCAAACATTCTGGCACTTTATCTGGCATATCTTCTGGCATTCTATCTGGCATACCTTCTGGCATTCTATCTGGCATATCTTCTGACATTCTATCTGGTATATCTTCTGGCACTCTATCTGGCATATCTTATGGCATTTTATCTGGCATATCTTCTGGCATTCTATCTGACATTCTATCTGACATTCTATCTGGCATATCTTCTGGCATTCTATCTGGCCGTTGTGGTCCAGCGGTGCACACTGAGCTGGGCAGGTCCCAGGTTGAGGTCCAGCAGTGCACACTGAGCTGGGAAGGTCCCAGGTCGAGGTCCAGCGGTGCACACTGAGCTCGGAAGGTCCCAGGTTGAGGTCCAGCGGTGCACACTGAGATGGGCAGGTCCCAGGTTGAGGTGCAGCGGTGCACACTGAGCTCGGAAGGTCCCAGGTTGAGGTCCAGCGGTGCACATTGAGCTGGGAAGGTCCCAGGTTGAGGTCCAGCAGCGCACACCGAGCTAGGAAGTTGGCAAAGAGCTTGGCGAAGAGTTGGCAAGGCGGAAGTTGAGGTGGAAGTTGATGCAGGCATGGTCGAGGCGAAACAGGCGGAGGAGGAGGAGGAGAAGGAGGAGGAAGAGGAGGAGGAGGAGAAGAGCTAGCAACCCTCACCTGGCAGGTGGGGAATAATGGTAACTTCAATAACAACAAGATCTTCGGATATCCTGGGGTTTGGGAGGATCCCCCTATGGCCTGGGCCCAATGCGCTGAGGAAGCGGTGATCTCGGCCGAAATCATCACAGCGTGAGGCGCGAGGCGAAGAAGTGGAGCTAGTCCATTGGCAAGGAGGGAATTTTCAAATAGGTCCTAAATAGGTCCTGAATAGGTCCAGGTGGCATCCTGACATTTTCGGTTCTCTATCTTTCAAAATACTTGCTTTGGGCGATCATCTCAGAATCGTTGGCCGATCAAATCAAACATGACAGTTTTTCTCAGAGATTATTGGGATCCACCAATTCTATTCAGTGATTGGCGGTTTCCAATGTAGAAACCATTTTTCTTCTTATTTGTGATGACGATTTTACAAAGATTGATGTTTTTCAGGGGGTTGAAACCAACAACCCGTCGAGGTAGCTCTGGCCTCGAGGGTCTATGCCACGACTGCTGTGGACTTCCGATGGGAAGGCAGTGAAGATTGGATAAGAGCTGGGTAGACCATGGTCTGGTAGGATGATGTTTGCGTGGCCATGAATCAGTGCAGGAATGTATATGTATATACTGTATGTATGTATGTATGTATGTATAGATAGATAGATAGATAGATAGATAGGCATATGGCACACACACACACCAAAGGCATATAGGGTTATAGGATGTTTTAGGGATTTTCATGAATATGTATGCATATATATATGTGCATGTACATATATATATAGATAGATATATGCGTGTGTTGTATACATTGATGATCCTGCTATTTTCTTGTAAGGCATCTAAGGTAAGCCCTGAGATGTGCTTTAGCCACCGTTATATATATATGCATATATATATATGCATATTCATATATATATATACACATATATATATACACATATTTGAATCAGTGCTCCTGGAATGATCAGAATGGCATAACTTTGGGATAGACTGGTTTCCCTTCACCTCCTTCCGCATCTACCCGGACCACCGCAAAGCACGGAGCGTGGCGGCAGTCCCGTTCTCCACTGGACCAGGTGGGGACGGGGGGCCAGCCATAAGCCCATGACCGGGGATGTATTTTCCGCGCCCTGGTCCTTGGTCCACAGTTTGTGGAAAATTCTGCCCCCTGATTGGTTGCTGGATGTGAACTTGGAGACATTCACTCGGTGTTCTGAATGGGGCACCCGCCTCAAGACCATGGAAGCCTCACATCTGAGTTCGTAAGTTGATTTTCCTCACGAAAATGGTCAAAGAATGTTAAAATGTTCACAATGTATCCAACTGGCCGCTTTGTCTTTTCTCGGACTGCAAGCCACGGTCCATCCGTGGATGACCAAGAAGGGGGGCTAAAGTCATCGACTGAGATGGTGGTGGTGAATGACTGCAGATTTCTGGACGCAGCTAACAAAAGCTGAGAACTAGACTTGGCTATCAAATAAAGAGTCAGTTGATAACAGTTGACAAGCATATGCATATATGGGATAAAAGTTGGAAACACACACGCGCTATCCCATCCAAGCGCCTCAAACATCCTCCAATCACTCTCCGACACTGAGCCAAGTTCTTCGAAGTGAGCTGGCCACTGGCAGCTCTACAACCAGGGTCTGTCTCACATTTCGAGGTATCCACCATACTCCACTGTTTTGAGACAGATTCATATCTCAAAAGGTGGGGATGGAGAACCTCTAATTTGCCATATTATATCATAGTCATACCATACCAACCACATCATCAGTCTAACCATTATATCATCAGTCGTTTAGCCGATGCTGCTGTTGATGGTGGTGATGATGCTGATGGTGATGGTGATGGTGATGAGGACGACGACGCTGACGACGACGACGACGGCGACGGCGATGACGATGTTGGTGAGGATGATGCTCATGGTGATGATGATGATGATGGTGATGGTGATGGTGATGGTGATGAGGACGACGACGACGCTGACGACGACGACGACGGCGACGGCGACGGCGATGACGATGGTGAGGATGATGATCATGGTGATGATGATGATGATGACGATGATGATGATGGTGATGGTGATGATGATGATGTTGTTGTTGATGATGATTTTGATGATAGTACAAGTATGATTAGGTGTTCCATGTGGGTGGGAGATTCTATATCCTATGCAATCCCTGAAAGAGAAGCAAATAGCGGTACAGTTCTCTTGCCAAGCCGCAATGCAATGCTCACTTCGTCAACACAATCTCATCAACACACTTCATATAATATGATACACAAATCATCTAAGCAGACCAATCAGATATTTGATTGTAACTTTATATCAAACATCATGTCATGTATATCCCAATAAGTCGTAGATCATTGATAAGAATGTTGGTAAAGCGCGATGTCATAAACCAATCTTTTTTTGATGGTTGATATCAACCATAAAAATGGTAAAATTGCGGATGGATAGCCGTCATGACCGGACACCAGCACCCGCTCGGTCACGCGTCACCGTCAAACGCAAAGCGTCCGCGCTGGTCCGCTGGGGTTTGCTTGCGGTCACCTGGGCGGCTACGATGGACGTTGGTTTCAAACCGATGACGAGTTTGATGAACTGCTTTCTTAGCCATTTCTATGATGGGAACATGAACCCCAAAGTCTATATGAAGACCTAGTTCGATGCAGGTTTGGAAGCTGTTGCTGTGCTGAGATTTTTGATTGAGTTCGATGCATCACCACGGCATGGCACCACTGGTGCCGCTGGTGCCGACCCAACGCGTAGCTCTTTTGCTGCATCGCTTGCCAGTCTCACATTCCAAGCTCATCAGAATCAACATGTACAAAAGGTACGCTCGGTTTGTACAAGGTTCCAAGGTTCGGTCCCTACGAATGGCTACCACAAAAACGAAAGAAGGTTGCAACTTCCCATAAACCATGTGTAACGAATCTGCACAAGGCTAAACTGGCGCTTTACCCCAAGTAGAGGCAGACCCCTAGGTGGAGTGCCCATCATAGGTGAGCATCGTGCTGATTCCACCAGTTGGTTATGTCCAAAACTGGGGCACTTTAATGGTAGATCCAACGATTTATCATTTCAATTCCGATGCATCTTGGCACATTTCCCTTTCAACATGACCATTTTTTGAGGCTTCCCCGGCCATGATTTCCAAGTGACCCAGGTTAATCATGGTTAATCACAATCCGAGGGACAATATAATATAATGTATGTTTTCTTCAGGAAAGCCATATGCAAATTATATTAGTGAAAGCTTTGAAAATCCAGAGGTGAATCCAAGCATCAAGGTCAGCTTCTCGCTCCATCGCTAGCCGTCCCATAGGATGAAGTTTCCGAACTCTGATGGGCTTGCGACAGCAAGTGTTTGCTCAGAGATGCTGTATGGTCCAACTTGCAGAAGGGCTACCCCTGGGATAGACAATTTGCATCCTGCTACCAGAGGTATCCTGAGAAGTGAGCTGGACCATGTGGTAGTAGGCAAAGTTTGACACGAAAAAACAAATCGTCAACATCTCTGACATCCTCAACATCCTCAAATATCTCAGGTGTTTCAGCAGATGCGTACTTTTGTTTTTAGCAGATGTTTGGAACATGGATATGTTGTTGGCCTCGACCGCTAAGCTTGGCTCTGCGAAGAGGTATCTCCCATCATCGGCGGTTGATGGTACCAGTCGGCGCGGCTGTCATGACAAACATTTCAGGATGACATTAGAATCACCATGTGTGCCATGGTCAAAACATGGGTAGCCTCGAGGCTCAAGCTTCCACCAAGCGTGGGAGGGGTGGCGTGGCGCCCCACCAATTGAGCCATGGAGTTGACATCTGGGCCATTCTTTCAAATGATGAAGTACCTTAGTCCGTCACCTGTTGTGTGCCCATGCTATTACCGAGTGACTTGCATCTTGACTGACTTGGAAGTTGTTTCGATGAGCACGTCCTGTGTCGTCTTGGCTTGCTGCGTAGATCCTCACCATTGCTTGGTTCGGGACCACTTTAGATCACTTAGGTTGACACGTGGAAGTTGCCCTCACAATATGACAGACAGGTACTTGCTGAAGGTCGCCATGGACCAGTGGTCGTGTGCTGTTGAAGGTTGCAAATCCGTGATTTGTCTTCAGGCATTTGTCTTTGTGATGGAGGTGGTGTCATGCCGACCCCAGAATGCCGCACATGTCGTGACGATGACTTGCACCAGGTCATTGAACCTTTCAGCGGTGGCTTCTCAGGTTGGAGCCATGCCTCAAGATTCTTGCGAGTTTCCCATCTTCACTTGTCTTGCCTTGGACGTTGGCCATGAATGCGTGTTAGCTTTCCACAAGACTTTTGGTGGCACCTTGATGGCTCTGTGTACCTTTGGTCCAGTTGTCATTGCCCGGAAAAGGAACATGTGCATTGGTGATGTCATTGCATTTCTTCAACTTGAGTTTTACCAGCGACCATTTCATTGCACTGACTTGCTTGGCGTTGCACTTGATCGTGGTGATCCTTGTCCTGACGCAGTGATGGTGTTGTCAGTTTCTGGAGTTAGCCCGGCTGATTTCTCTAGCTCCTGACTCTTGATGTCTGCTCAGACATGCGTGTCACGTCCTTTGAAGGACGGTTTGATGACCTTGGCCCATTTGTGGAACTGCTTCGATCGACAGGTCTCTTGGACTTGATGTTGTGCTTGGGATGGTCTTGCGTTATTCCCGTGTCTGCTTGGCATGATGGTCGTTTCAGACAGATGCAGCTTGCCAAGTACTCAGATCAGTTTGCAATCGAAGGCACTGACGCAAACAGGTTGTCTTGAGCCAATAATTAGTTGCTTGCCAATTTGTTCACCGCTTGCAGTTGTGCTCGGCTTGATCCGTGTTGTACAGTTTCATGGTTCACCCACTCTTTTCTGTTACCTCGTACCCCCCTTAACCGGGAAGGGGCGTTGGTGCTGCGACTTCGCTCGCGCCGATCAAAACATGGGTTATTTCCACACAAGTTTGGCGATGGTCATCCATCTCATCCCATCATTTTCATAGGTGTTAATCTATATAATTCTATATAACATTTTTTCAATCCCTAACGACGCTGAGATGACCACATAACAATTAAACGCATAAAACATGTTTTGGCCATAGCACTTACCCACACAAATGGTTATTTTGAGCATTCAATGATCCCATTCTTTTGTGCAACTACTTTCAAGCCATAGCAATGTAGTGCTTCCATACTCTGTAGCTCTATTGCTGATGCCATTGGCACCGTGAACATGTGAAAATTGTGTGTTTTTAATGGTAAAACCTTGAAAATCAACATTTTTGATGGTTAAATCAGTTAAATGCAATTTTTGATACGATTTTCAAAGATCTGTGCCTTAGAAAGCTCAAACTCAGCATGACCAGGAATATGCAGAGCTGGAGGTGAACCAAAGGGCAGAAGTCGAGGCTTTTGAAGTCACACATAGTAAGAACAATAATACTGTAATGATCGTAGTATAGCAATAATAAGAAAACTATACTGAGACTCTTGAGAATTTGAAACGCACAAAACCTTGTATGACTGTGGATGACTTGGGTACGTGTCAAAAAACAGTTCCAAGATTCATGGGCAAAAACATAGATGTGGACATTCTCTGTAGTGCCGACATGGTCACCAGCCAAGCCTGGATGATGCAACCGAAGGTTGTCGAGAGATCATACGTTTTGGCAGTTGTGCAGCCCCACTGGACCTAACCTTTTTCAACTCGCCGCGAAGCCATAGCGGCGCCATAGCGGGCGTAGTTGATTTGGGTCTGACACTGAAAGACGCAACTCAGCAACCCATCGACGTCAGTTTTCGTATCGACCTTAGTGCATGTAGCCCCCGCAAATGGCCAAGGGTGGAAGGGCACAATATCACCAGCCGCAAGGGTGAGGACTGCCGCCTGCCGTTTGATGGGACCACTGATGTGAGTGCCAGATGCCATGCAAACTTACTCTGTTTTACAAAAACATGGCAGTATGAAGCCTTATTTCACTTCCAATGTTGACAAGGGGGGCTCATTTTCCACTCACACTTGTTGCAGTTCAGGACAAACCAGGAGCAGAAAGACCAATCTTTACCGGTGTGTCCCAAAGATTGAGACTCCCCATATCCCTTGAACATGGTCTAGCATACGGAAACCTACAGGGACATCCCCAAAGCCTGCGGGAGCAGCCCAGTGGTCCCAAATCGCGTCGCGTAAAGTGTCTCTCCACATTACAAAAAAGTGGATGCACTCTGCCTACGGCCAACTGTTGTTTCTATCTCTCATGACATGGTGACTACTAGCCACAACAGATTGCTTCAGGTTTCAGAAATACATTTGAAACAACTGGTTGGGGCGCCCCAGCCTCATAGTTTTGCTCCTTGAGTGATGATTACTCAATGGGCCCAGCCACGTATACGCGCGGCGTCAGCTCAAAAAAAGTGGGGCGGTTGTGAAGTCTTTGACCATGATGCTGAAGATTGACACGCGTTCTGGCAGGGTTCAAGGGCACAAATCTAGCTTATTAATCCCAGCCCCCTAATATTAAACACCGCTATTGTCGGGTCCCACATATGTGTCAATCCCCTGCCAAACCATCGTTTTTTGGGGGTGTTTAATATTAGGGGGAAGGGATTGCTCCCAAGCTGATAGACGCTGACATGCGCCAGTTGTCCTTTCTGCCAGCGTGTGGGTCAAAACCAAATCGTCCCATAGGCACCAACGGCTAAAAGTATTCGGGGCTGGTCATTTGCCAGTACAGTCCCATCAAGTCATCCATGTCCAAATGTCCAGATGGTATGACTGAGAATCATTAAGCCAATCTTGGATGCTTCAAGATACTAATGAACTCGCGTTTCAAGAATGGCCAGTTGGGTTAAACTGGGTGCCCCAGTGTCATGTTGATCCATGGAGCAACAGCTGCAGCAGCATGTCCAAGCTATGTTGGCGGAGGCGCGCGGCAGCTGAAATTTGCTTATGAAAGAAAGCACGCCATGATGGCAAGAGGTTCTTCGATTTCTACTTTTTATTGCGGCTGAGTCCTCCCCGGAATTTTGGAAGCCTCATGTTTGTTTTGGACAGTTTTCCAGTCTTTCAAGCATTTGGTGGTTGACATCTGGAGGGCTATTGCATCACCTCTATGCGATGGGAGCCGCATTTGCTGCCACAGGCCAGGTGCAGTGGTGACCTGAGGACCTGAGACCTAAGTGGCTGGCCATCCAAAGGATTCAAGTACCCAACATAGATACCAATAGTGCAAATATCGCTAGCACATATGGACCATATGGATATGGGATGCTCTGCGAACCACAGACTATACTTGGAATTGGTCGTGGCTTGAAAAGGCTCAAGATACTGCCCAAGACGCTCAAACACAGACCCTAAGACCATATATCACAAGGGCAATTCCACAGTTACAAGTATACATGTGCTAATAGCCCCGGTTATTCAGTGTTGTAAATCTGGTTACACATGGAATTCGTTTTCTGGTCCCAGTTTTTCAGGTTTATTGAAAGAGATGGCATGGATGTATATGGAGGTTTCTCAAACTGGGGGATCCCCCAAACCATGGTTTTCAATACTAAAAGAGTCTAATTTAGGGTGATTTGGGGTACCACCATTTTGGAAAGAAATCTCCCAATAAATTTGGGACTTTCAACGGTCAAGCACAATTTTTGATGATTTTCAAATACCAAACCTTCCATTTTTAGGATGCAGATACCCAATGGCTAGCTTCCGGAAGCGGCTGTCTTCCCAAACATGCGGAAAAATCGGCCAGGCCCAAAGAAAGGCCTTGCAGCTCGCAGCAGATGGCAGGTTCGGGAAATGGAGCATTGCAAAAAAAGTGGCCAATCTTGAGGGGACAGCAAATGGATCCAGCTATGATTATCAATACGAGTTTCATCTTCTCTGGGACATATCCTTTTAAGGCTCTCTATTTCTGCTGGACATTTCATGATGTGTAAGTGCAGTCAAGCTCTCTGAAAGGATTGCAATAGCCGTCAGTAGGGCAAGATGGTGCTTCTGCGAACATCTAGAAAAGGGGCCACGCATCCTTCTAGTCCATTCTTGGATGCCACTTAGCAAATAGAGATAGCAGTTCTACTCGGAAACTACCCCAACTGCAGGCATTCTTTTTCAAACAGGGGTTTTAACCAATGCGCATCCCCGGCTCCGCTCAGCTTTTGCATGCTGCCCTACGAAATTCGGGACAGTCTGTTGGGCCCCGGGATTGGGAGCTCAGTCCTGGAGGGCGGAGGGGGTGTGCGGTAGAAGCTACCAAAAAAATAGCATCCACTTCCATAAACAAACAAAGTGAACAGATCCACTGGCAAAAGAATTTCAACAAATGGGCTACCACTGCTACCACCAAAAAGGATCCTGTTCAGAATTCCCACTACAGAATGCTAGGCCTTGGGGCCCACTATAAACCTCTGAAACCCAATGATTTTATAGTCCCCTGAGACGTTGTGCAGAAGCAAATCGTAGCAGTCGAGTTTTGTAAGGCAGTGAGATCCAAAACAAAAATCGAGATAGCAGTTTGTGATAAGGAATTTTGATCGATTTTTGACGAGTGTTTTTTTTACTGAAAAAAACGCTGGAAAAAATACAATAGCAACTTATCGTGGCTTTCATGGTTCTATCATATGAAGCAACATGAGACTTCGTATGTTTTCATGACCAATTTGTAGTGAACCCGTTGTTTCACTCGCAATTGAACAAAATCAACGCAGCGCACAATGCAATAGCATCGGGATAGATATTGTGCTACAAAAAGGGTCAACACCTGCAGTGACAATCGGGAACTTTACTCAGTAACTTGAAGCAGTTATCAGCGTTGGTTGTCAACAAAAACTTGCGCACAGATCGGATGATTCTGCTGCAATGCTTTCTGTAGTGATTCGATTTATATACCCATCCAGTTTGTAGCAGTTCTCTTCATGTTGGTTTGTTTTGAGAGGGTTAGGGTTTGCAGCCGTTTTATCTTGCTGCATTGTTCTTAGAGCAGGTACATAATTTGATACAGCTTTCATTTTGCTGCCTTTTTTCAACAAGTACGTTCCTGCCTTGGGCTGGCTCTTGCTGTATTTGTTGACTGACTTGTTCATTTATCAAGCACGGCTGTCAACACAAATTTGCGCACAGAATGGATTCTGCTGCAATGCTTTCTGTAGTGATTCGACTTGGACCCATCCACTTTGTAGCAGTTTTCTTCATGTTGGTTTGTTTTGGGAGCGTTTGCAGCCGTTTTATTTTGCTGCATTGTTCTTAGAGCAAGTACATAATTTGATACAGCTTTCATTTTGCTGCCTTTTTTCAACAAGTACTTTCCTGCCTTGGGCTGGCTCTTGCTGTATTTGTTTACTGACGTGTTCATTTATCAACCGCTGTTGTCAACACAAATTTGGACACAGAATGGATTCTGCCGCAATGCTTTCTGTAGTGAATCGACTGGTCCCATCCACTTTGTAGCAGTTTTCTTCATGTTGGTTTGTTTTGGGAGGGTTTGCAGCCGTTTTATCTTGGTGCATTATTCTTAGAGCAGGTGCATAATTTGATACAGCTTTCATTTTGCTGCCTTTTTTCAACAAGTACTTTCCTGCCTTGGGCTGGCTCTTGCTGTATTTGTTTACTGACGTGTTCATTTATCAAGCACTGTTGTCAACACAAATTTGCGCACAGAATGGATTCTGCTGCAATGCTTTCTGTAGTGATTCGACTTGTACCTATCCACTTTGTAGCAGTTTTCTTCATGTTGGTTTGTTTTGGGAGCGTTTGCAGCCGTTTTATTTTGCTGCATTGTTCTTAGAGCAAGTACATAATTTGATACAGCTTTCATTTTGCTGCCTTTTTTCAACAAGTACTTTCCTGCCTTGGGCTGGCTCTTGCTGTATTTGTTTACTGACTTGTTCATTTATCAACCACTGTTGTCAACACAAATTTGGAGACACAATGGATTCTGCCGCAATGCTTTCTGTAGTGATTCGATTTATATACCCATCCAGTTTGTAGCAGTTCTCTTCATGTTGGTTTGTTTTGAGAGGGTTAGGGTTTGCAGCCGTTTTATCTTGCTGCATTGTTCTTAGAGCAGGTACATAATTTGATACAGCTTTCATTTTGCTGCCTTTTTTCAACAAGTACTTTCCTGCCTTGGGCTGGCTCTTGCTGTATTTGTTTACTGACTTGTTCATTTATCAACCACTGTTGTCAACACAAATTTGGAGACACAATGGATTCTGCCGCAATGCTTTCTGTAGTGATTCGATTTATATACCCATCCAGTTTGTAGCAGTTCTCTTCATGTTGGTTTGTTTTGAGAGGGTTAGGGTTTGCAGCCGTTTTAGCTGTTTTATCTTGCTGCATTGTTCTTAGAGCAGGTACATAATTTGATACAGCTTTCATTTTGCTGCCTTTTTTCAACAAGTACGTTCCTGCCTTGGGCTGGCTCTTGCTGTATTTGTTGACTGACTTGTTCATTTATCAAGCACGGCTGTCAACACAAATTTGGACACAGAATGAATTCTGCTGCAATGCTTTCTGTAGTGATTCGACTGGTCCCATCCACTTTGTAGCAGTTTTCTTCATGTTGGTTTGTTTTGGGAGGGTTTGCAGCCGTTTTATCTTGCTGCATTATTCTTAGAGCAGGTACATAATTTGATATAGTTTTCATCCGTGAAGTGCTTTTCTTTTTCTTAGGGTTCTTTTGTTGCCTGTTGTTGTTTTTTCCTACTCGAGTTGGTGCCTGGAGGGGATTGAGACCAAAAGGTGTTCCACCCCTCAAAAATGCGCCTGGGAGATTGACCCATGAGATTGCGTGGAGATTGATCCATGTACATTCTTGGAAGGAAGGATGCATCATGGCCACAATATGCACTACCTTTTGCTGCTTTTCTTAGTGACAACTTTTTAGGGGCTACAAAATAGTAGGAGCAGGGTTCCTTCGACCAAGAGCGCATGAGCAAACCATATCGCTACAAGTTGCCATCGGAAAAAAATGGCGGATTATGTTGGATGCTGAATCATTTACATGTAAAGTCACTACAAACTGTCCCAGGATTTTATGTTGAGTTTTCAGGATTTTTTTTGAAGATTTAGGCAACTTGTAGTAGACCTACTTGTTCAATGATTTAGCAGATTGTAGTAAATAAAAAACCATGGGCACCCTAACATGTAGTAAAGTCACCCTAAGGCCGCAGGATTGTAGTCTACAAATTGGGGACCCAACGTCACCCGTCTAATTCCAACGGGGATCAAAAAGGGATACATAGAGATATTCCATTTTGGGGCAATAGAGTTTTGGACCTTGGAGGTAGCTCATATGCTTTGGTCATTACGCTAGGTCTGGTTGACCACATATTTGGTATGCTGTCAAACTGGGCCAAAAGTGTTCGGATCGGATCGCTCAGCTCAAAGTTTGATAATGGTCGTGCTTTCAGCTCAAGGTTTTTGGGACGGGTGCCTGAAAATAGAAGTAAGATCATTGTTTTGCCAAAATATACCATCTGGTTATTTAACATAGCCATGGAAAATCACCATTTTTAATAGGTAGTAAACCAGCTACAAATGGGTTATTTTCGTGGGAAAACGGTGGTCAAATCGAGGTCCGGTCGTGTGGCAGACATGGGCCCCCCGGCGCAGTGCAAGGCCCGGGGACAGCTAGGGTTGGTTAGAGGGCAAATCGGTTGAACCTTTCGTATCTGATGGGAAAAGCATTGAAAAACCGAGGGTTTCAACCAGAAATTTTCATTGAAATCAGCGATCATTTTTTTGAGCAGATCGTGGAGATGAAGATGTCCTAAATCTCGGCTGAGATTCTTATTAAAAACACATGGTAAACCCCAAACCATAAATCATGCCGAACTGAAACAACTGTTGAAGACTGAACACCTTGAAGAAGTGGGGTTTATTGTTGGTTTACCGCATCTGCAGTGCCTTTAGCTGCCTGGGTTTGATGGTTTGATATGATGGCATCTGCTGCTAGGTTTTCCATGTTTTGTGTCCCAAATGACGACCGTTTTGTTTGGCTTCCATAGTTGAACCCACTAACTTCAGATGCAATTTGAGGTGAAGATCACCTACCACGATGGTCATGGTGGAATAGAATGAAATGATGAATCAGCTAGGAGGATGACAAGAAAGGAATGATGAATGGACAGATGAGCAGTGTTCAAAACTCCTCTTGTTTTCCTGATGATTTTCGGGGTAAAAAACTATCCCATCAACATAATGGGGACGCTTATCATCACTGAATTGGGAATCCCGTTCTCAACCAACCATCATTCTTTGGGATTTTCCGATACTTTCCGATTGTTGTATTCATCCCTATATATATATATTATTCATAATATATATATATATGTATATGTATATATATATATTGCATATACATACAAATCACAATGATTTTGCCATAATTATATCCCAGTACATGTATGTATTTATACTTATACATACGTAATATATATATATATACACGTATATATATATACGTACGTATATACGTATATATATATATACATACGTATAATATATATATATATATAATATATATAATATATATAATATATATATATGTATATCATATACACACCGTTATATTACCATTATTTTTCCATTGTAATATAGACGAGCCGTGAGCCCTGTCGTCTAGCAGTCTTCCAGCTTGTCCTCACCTGAGAGCGCCTTTTTTCCCTTTCGGAGATATCCTTTCGCCTTGGTTTGCGCTTAAGGCCAAACAGTTGGCATCTAGAGGATCCCTTTATTTTTCCGGGGGTGGCCTTTTGCTTTTGCTGGCTCTGCACGGAGTGCGAGTCACATCGTCCGGGCACTCCTTCTTTTTGCTGTCCCTTTCAAGGGACAGGATTGACTCGCGGCAGTCTGTCCCTTTCTGGCACTTCCCACACCTGGTACAGTAGGTGTTGAGATGGATGATTTATCCATGTATACGTGGACTTGGTGATTATTCTATCACTGCTGGTTTTCTATATATATATATATTTATATATATATACAGTATATATATACATATATACACACATATTTAGTATACATTGAGTGCCACCCAATGCCTGTAACAGCCAGTAACGGGTTTCCTTGCTTACAAAAAAACTGGAGGAGCACAAGCAAATCAGGTTTTCTTGGTTGCCAATCTTCTCAATTCCAAGGAAATTTTGGAAAGCGTTGATTCAAATTGTGTACTTGATTCTGGGTTTGCAACATTTTGGATCTTCCCTTTTGGATCCCATGTTGTATTTTATGTGTAGAACTGTCCACACATTTCTGGATGTCACTGCAATGCTTTTGGTTCGCGAAGATTGCTTATGATTTCGTTTCAGGAGAAAAATGCATTTTCTTGTCCGATAGCCTGACAGTCTCATACCTTCTCCCGTTGGGGCTTCGTTTTTGACGCGCGCCTGTTTGTTGGAAACGATTTTCTTGGACGGAGGTGTTCTTCATGTCTCACCACGCTGGCTGTTCTGTTCCTAAACCCCAAACCCTAAACTTAATTTTACTCCCCAGGCCCGCAAATCCAAATTTCGAGGTTCAATACTTTTGACGCGCGGAAATACACGCACAAAGAGAAAATATCAATGACTTTTCACGGCCTCTTTGGTTTGACTGCGTGGTTTTTTCGCTTTTTCTCGTGTTTTTTCTAGTGTTTTTTTTTGTGTGTTTTTTTTTGCCGCCCGCCTATTAAATAAAAATATAGAAAATCACACTTTTTGTGTTTTTTCTTTATTTTCTGGATTTTTCTCCTGCTTTTTCTCGTGTTTTTTCTCGCGCTTTTTCTCGCGCTTTTTCTTGCGCTGTTTCTCGTGTTTTTTCTCGTGCTTTTTCTCGCGCTTTTTCTCGCGCTTTTTCTCGTGCTTTTTCTTGCGTTTTTTCTCGTGTTTTTTCTCGTGTTTTTTTCTCGTGCTTTTTCTCGTGTTTTTTCTCGCTTTTTCTCGTGTTTTTTCTCATGCTTTTTCTCGCGCTTTTTCTCGCGCTGTTTCTCGTGCTTTTTCTTGTGTTTTTTCTCGTGCTTTTTCTTGTGTTTTTTCTCGTGCTTTTTCTCGTGCTTTTTCTGGTGCTTTTCTTCGTGTTTTTTTTTTCGTGTTTTTTCTGGTGTTTTTTTTTCTGGTTTGCTCATGCCTTTTCGCGTGTTTTTTTTTTGGGGGGGGTTTGCTTGTGCTGTTGTTCGTGTTTTTTCTGTTTTTTTTTTTGTGTGGTTTGCTATTTCTTGTGTGGGTTGCCAACTTTTTTTGACGAGTTGATTTATTGAGTCTGTCATTGCATCAGTCTTGAAGATTTGTGCCTTAAATCACCACGGTCTTCTTGGAAATGGAACCTCGTGTTTTTTTCACTTTTTCTCGTGCTTTTTCTGGTGGTTTTCTGGTGCCCAGTGATACAGCGAATGGGCGGTACACAAAGTATACATATTATCCCAGTGAATATCCCGACCATGAAATGACCAGATGGCAGTTCTCGATCCCTGGCAGGGTGCCAGCGCAGCTGGCGGGACCTTGGGGACCTTGGGAACCTTGGATGGTACCCTGACGCATCTAGCAGCCATGGCAACTCGGCAGTGGTGGTGGACCATTCACTGGGGGTTTCATGGTTTGATGGATCTGAAGTGAGAGACTGGGGACATATATGGAACTATGACAAATATCATAAAATATCAACAATATGGGAGGGCCGTTTGAAATCTTGGAGTTTCCCGAACAGAGACTGGTGTGTTGGTTGTTTCACGAACATATGACTATTGTACAGTTTGGCAGCTTGAACACTTTCAAGGCACAATATATATGATCATCATTTTCCTGAATTTTTCAAGATTTGTTGTGAGATTTTGGTTGACTTTCCATACTTTCCATACTTTCCATACTGTCCATGTAGATTTTGCCCACAAAAAAAACCACCAGCAGTTCTCCCAGTTCCTGGCTTCACCGCTTGGCACCGAGATCTCCCGACACGTCCAGCTCAGCGGTCGCAGTGCTGGGCTGCTCCACGAGGTGGGGACCATAATAGCTAAATATGTGACTAAGTATATAAGTGATTATAAGTGTATGCAATGCTATGCTATGCTATGCTATGTTATGTTATGTTTTATTATGTATGTAATGTATGTATTGTACAGTATTGTATTGTAATGTGTTGTATTGTATTGCATTTTATATATGTAATTACTGTATGTATGTAATTAATGTATGTATGTAATTCATGTATGTATGTAATTCATGCATGTATGTAATTAATGTATGTATGTAATTAACGTATGTAATTAATGTATGTAATTAATGTATGTATGTAATGCAATGCAATGCAATGCAATGCAATGCAATGCAATGCAATGTAATGTAATGTAATGTATGTATGTATATACCATGGAAATGACTTGGATGATATACTAAATATGTGTATATGTATATTACAGAAATAGATGTATGAAGCGCGTAAATAATTGCATGTATATATGTATATATATGTATATATGTATATGTACGCAATGGGAGATTGAGTGGCTAAACCGTGGTAGGTCAGGTTGGTAGATGATCCCCACTATCGAAGCGTCACTGGACGAGTTGGGGATGGCACAAGTGGCCCAACCACTGACTTCAAAGGGGTTACAACTCAGTGGTTTCTACCAAAAAAAAAAGAACGGACTTCAGTGAAACTCGATTTTGGGGATCCATTTCATCAGGATATTTGCTGGTACTCGTAAATCTTCATTTGTTGCTGAAGTCTCTTGTTGGTTTTAAGTTCCCAGAGTCAGCCAGAGTCGTGTTGGTTTCAAGTTTCAAATGCCACTTTTTCTTGGTGTCGGGTGTCCAATTCGTTGCTTCAGTCACTGGCTCCAGCCCTATCCATTCACGGGCAGAACTTGTGGCACCATGTCCGTGCGTGCCACGCTTCCGTGGAGAAATGGGCAGAATGCCTCAGAGGCATTGAAGCGCAATAGCATTCTCTCGAAGGATGGTGGGGGCTGCCTGATGAATCATTTTGCCAAATTTTGGGAGTTAGGGGCATGAAATCTAAATGAGCATCTGGCAATTTAGTTCAACGGTAGGTCACGAGGCGAAGCACATCTGGCGGTTAGTAGTGGAGTTATCAGTTATACTGACTGGTTTATATCATGGGCATATATGGGCATGATATACAGTTGACAGCCTGATACAATCATTCAATATGATATGGATTGGGAACATTGGGGTGGTGGGGGCTGTGCTGAAAGCGACCACGCCTTGAGTCTTGATTCTTGTTGCACTTGGATTCTGGATGCATCCAGTGCTGCTAGCCTTTTTTTGCATGCCGCTGATGTCGCTTGATGAAAGGATACACCTCAGGTGTCCCGGAGATAGGGGAACTGCATATCCATTGAGGCTGAACCACTGGCCTTCCCCCGCAACAGCGCTAGCAGGAGCACTTGAAACGAGCGCTTTCGTCCATTGAAAAGGACACCGGCCCTGGGAGGGAAACTCACCACCTGTGGGATGTTGTTGCACTCTTTTTTGGTTTGAACTTTGGGAGGCTTGGACACATGTCGGACAATGTCCTAATCTCTAAGGGCTTTCCAAAATCTATGAAACGGGTCGATTCTTATGGGGGGTTCCGAATTCTTGGTTGATCCTGGGTGAAGGACTCCTTCCGCTACCAGAGCAATGTGGCCAAAAAGCCCTGGCTCGATTCCTGGCCCTTGGAACAGAGAGAAGTTACTGAAGGGGAGACACCCTAAAATGGTGGGTTTGGAAGATTGATTATTGATTTACATAAATTTCGGGGGCGTATAAGAATTGGGCGAGTCATAAGATCTCTTCAGTGGGATTTGTTCTTTGGTGAACCATTGTCCAGCCGGTTCATGCTTGTTGACACTTGTTGTCCTGCAGGAAAAGAAGAGGCCGTCAACAATGGAACACCTGGTTGATTGTTTTCTGCTGTACCAAAGCAACCCCGGTTTTTTGGTCCATACAAAACATCATTGGTGCAATTTTTCCCGGAAGATAAGGATCTACCAATTCATTGGTACTGTGTTGAAGCTTGCTGGGAGGGTCGTAATTTTCCTGGCAAAGCTGCAACTTTCCCACACTTCAAACACAATCCAAACTGATTGGTATAAAACCTGGCAGGCATCGCTTTGAGGATCATTAGACTGGAAAACGCCCCAAGCCCCTCATTTCTACCCCCAAAACTTCGATGATGGGCCCTACGACCCTTGTGAACGAGGTGACTTCACCATTTTCATTGGTAGGTTGAAAATACTTCGTTTTTGTAGGTGATGTTTCTGGTTGCTAAAATCTCATCAACATACAATCTGGCACATGTAGCCCAGAACTAGTATATACATCACCGTTTTATGTCAGTTGAACCAACATGTTAAGACAAGTTATTTGCTCAATGAACTCATGTTGGGCACTTTTCTACACTGATGCAGATATCTGAAAAAAACACAGCACAATTTTGCTCAGTTGAACCACCCCATCTTTGATACCTTAGCTGCTGACACTGAGGACGGCGCTGCATGGTCGCAACAGCGCATCTGGCTGGCGCAGCTTGTGAGGAGTCAAAGCTTTGAGACGGTTATGGGGCTAGTGATTATGGTCAATCTGGTGCTGCTTGGATGAGTGACGGATAGCTTTGTTGGATGTGTGATCTTTTCACAAAAAAACTTGGGACCCCTGAGCGGAGGTGGCGGAGTTTGGAACTTGGGGCCACCGATGAACAGGTCCAGATGAGTGTCATGAAGTGTTATTGGCTGTGGTAATTTTTAAGGTTTTAAATGGACATTTATCATGTTTCATAGGTAGATCATCCAACTAAATGGGCCATTTCGTCCATAGGAAACAAATTACCAGAGGGCACTGGTGGAATTTTGAGAACTATTCCCGCCTAGGTTCATGGTCATAGAAACCAATGCAGATGCCTCGTGCTATCCCGACTATCGCAACAACCGAGCGGAGTGCCCAACCAGCAGTGCCTTGCAACTTGGCCGAAGGCAAGCAGGTTGTCCAAAAAATCCCCTGCGTAGCCTTCGGTATATATGTTTATATATGTATATATATATATACATAATTAAACCTCATAATGCCGCAGACATATTTCACATAGATGTTTTTACACCCAATTAATAAATGGTTGTTTCATAGCCATATCATCCATATCCACAGCAATTTTGATGAAACCAGCTACCATCCCTGACTTTCCCAGCGATGCAACTAGGATTGAATGGCTTTATAGCAGCAACGTGGTCTTGCTGGTGATTTACACCGCGGAGTGTGCTGCCAGGGCTTTTGTGGAGCGCGGATTGTACGTGCCTTGGCACCTGTTGCGCATGGAATCCTGCAGGAGTTGGGCTTGTTTTGTCTTGTTGAACTTGTGGGATCTTTTGGGTAGAATCCCTGCACAGTTCATCATGGCTCCAAACCGGTGCCAGGTGGGTGCTTCGAAACGGGATGTTTTTTGGTGAGAGGCTTCCGCCAGAGTCAGAGAATTTTGCCATCGTGCCATCCAGATTTCCTCGCGACCTGAGGTGTGCAATACCTGGAACTTGATTGATGCTTGGTGGCCCCATATATCCCTAAGTGATCCTAAGTGCCTAAGTGCAACAGCTTGCTTCTGCAACTGGGAAGAAGCCTGAAGTTACTTAGTCTGAGGGGAATGAGGAAGCAGCCAGTTGCAATCCATCCAGATTCGAGATTTTCCTGATTTGAATTTGAGGATTCACTTCAGCAGAATGATCAAACATGGATGAACAAAAGGGCCTTGGATGTGGGGCCGGCATCGAGCTATGGGGCCTGAACAAAATTCCCATCGTTTCTTGAAGAGTGAAAACTGCATGGGAGGTGCATCCCATTTGCTATGTGGTATTTGATGCCAAAAAATGAAGCATTTGGGTATCCCTGAAACTGATGTAGCCGCGTAGCCATCACATGCTTGCCCCAGCTCGATGAAAAGGACCTGTTCACGATGCTGGCGGGTTGGTGTGCTACTCTCCTGGCATCCATTGCCCCTGGCCTCATGGTGATGCGGTGCCTTGGTCGAACAACTTCTTGATTTCGCCAGGCTGGGATTTCACCAAGAAACATCCGGATTTAGAGTTGATTTTGATGATCGCTTGGTTTATTTCACTAAGATTGGTCTGTTGGGCTTATTGTAGATATATCGAACTAGTGGGATTTAGAAAGCAACAAACATTGCACTGCGGGGCACCACCAAGATCTCGGAGCTGGGCACCACCGATTTTCTCAGGATTTCCCACTAGCCAGTTAGATTGCCAGGGTATACATACAGACAGACAGACAGACAGACAGACAGACATACATACACATACATACACATACATACACATACATACACATACATACACATACATACACATACATACACATACATACACATACATACACAGATACATACAAAGATACATACAAAGATACATACAAAGATACATACAAAGATACATACATAGATACATAGATACATAGATACATAGATACATAGATACATAGATACATAGATACATAGATACATAGATACATAGATACATAGATACATAGATACATAGATAGATGGATAGATAGATAGATAGATACATAGATACATAGATACATAGATACATAGATACATAGATACATAGATACATAGATACATAGATACATAGATAGATACATACATAGATAGATAGATACATACATAGATAGATAGATAGATAGATAGATACATAGATACATACATACACACGTACGTACGTACGTACGTACATACATACATACATACATACATACACACATACATACATACATACATACATACATACATACATACATACAGACACACAGACATACATACAGACAGACAGGCTTACATACATACATGCATACAGACATACAGACAGACAGACATCCATCCATCCATCGATCCATCCATCCATCCATCCATCCATCCATGCATACACACATACATACATACATACATACAGACAGACAGACAGACAGACAGACAGACAGACAGACAGACA